CAGAAATGTTGACATTGTCATGATACAGGGTTCTCCCTACCATTAGTGGATCAAACAAAAGCCGTACTTAGATTGCAACAGCTTAATTAAATTGTATGTTTGAATTTAGAAATGAGTGCGCAGGGATTTGAAAAGGGTAGAGTCATCTCCTTTTTGTTTAGTGACATATAAAAAAATAAATAAATAAATAAATAAATAAAGGAAATTTATTACTAAAGAAAATGACTACAAATTACAAAAGATGACCATTAAATGTGGCCAACGCTATGGGCACCAATGGAATTATCAAAGTCACTCAATTATGTTAAAAAATATTAATTTTTTATTTGATTATTAAGAACAACTTATAATTAATATTTATTATTCAATAAATTAAAAGAAGTTTATAAATTGATATTTTCAATATCATAACTATTTATTTTAAAAAAATTATAAATACTAATTAAATTAAATACAAATTTAATTACCTTAACAATTCCATTGACAACTATAACCACACCACATTAGATGAACATTCATTATTTCTTTCGGCCCCCCACCAATTCAGGGTCCAGGTCCAGCCAGTTACCCTCCCACACCATACCTGAATTGAGATGGTTCTCTTTTAGAAGAGGATCCCCACCACAACACTTGTTTTAATAAACCATGGTCCCCTGACTCTAGACCGTACATATAGGTCCATAATTTGGCTTTGGTGACCTGGTCACCCTTTAAGACTTTGTTCTGTACCAGGGCCCAGGGCCCATATAGCTCTTTGAAGGACAGGCCCTACAACTTTTGTGAGTCCACAGGTTCGGCTCATAACATGATCAAAACCCATTTCTGACGGCGACTTCATTTGTATATAGCCTGTTTGTTTTAGTCTAGTGGTACTCCATTTTACACAACCAAAACTAAAAACGACTAATACTAAGCATATACTCTAAATAATGAAGTGAAAATTAATTTTCTTGAATCCATTTGGTGAACATGGATGGTATGTCTTTAAAATTATTAGAGAAAAAATTAATTTTAAAATATATACAAATTGATTAGATACACCTTAATTTTTTAAAATGCAAAAAAGGAAAAGAAAAGAAAAGAACAATCAAGTAGGGTTATTCAATTTCATTTTCGTTTTCTTTAAGAGGATAATAGTGGATATACTCATCCTTCCAACAATGGTACCAATACTCTGTTCCTTTGTACCTATAAAAATTGAGAAACTTTGGGTTCAAAACTGTCAAGATCTTAACATTTTCATTTCCTATTAAGTTAGAGCTCTTTTCTTTCTTTTTTTTTTTTGTACATGATGAATAATTGAGGAAGGGGGATATTTTTCAAGTAATTAATGAGAGTCGAATTCTCAATTAACTGAATCTAGTCACTGAGATTTTGAGATGAACTATTAAACCCGAAAAGTCAATTATAAGTTAAACCTTATTTGTGATAAGAAATTGTTAATGTATTAATTTTTGAAAATATAATCCACTATGCATGGCCCTTGTACAAATGGAAGCCTATTATGAATTTGTGGTGACATTCCAACAATATCAGATATTGCATTCTTTTTCATGTTCATCTACCAGATAACCAGTATCTTAGGGCAGCTTGAGACAATTCATATTTGCAAGGCATTAGTATTCCTCCACATTACAAACCAACTGCCAATCCATGTTGCTTAATTTCCTTAAGTTCATCTCTTTGGTTCTTCCCTTACCTGAATGATCAAAGAAAAGATTAGTCCTAGATAAGGGGATAAGAACTTTGCTAAAATGTAACCTCCACTATGCTGTGATAAGTTAGAAAATGACACTTGGAAATGTTAAGTTCCATACCTTTACGTAATCAACAGCTTGTTGTACATAAATAATTCATGGATACCAATGAAACACGAAGAAATCCTGCTCGAATTGGATAAGCAACTTCTAGAACTGTCATGTTGATTCTTAAATGATTATTGTATTTCCAAGTTCCAACCACCCAAGAGAACCTGCAGTTGAAAAGATATAATCGTGTTATTATATAACCAAGTCATGAAGGTGAAAATGAAGTCATTTTAAGATTGAGAAGATAATTTCTTCTGACATCTGAATTACATTAGCAACAAAGCAACCTAAAATTATCCTTTTATTTCAATCTTCCTGAGTGGAATCTCCTAGTTCTTTGAAACAGCACCAATGATAAAGACAAAAAAATAACCCATCACTACTCAAAAAATTTCCACTCCTGAAGGACAACAAAAAGTACAGACTGTTTTCACCTCTTCGATTTGGCTTCTGAGTAGCCTAGAACTGTAAATTTGTAAAGTATTTCTTCCTATTTGGTTCTTTTGAATCAAATTGATATGTCGGAAACTTGAAAACAATCACAGGGTGGCAATGCATGGAATGGAAGTAAATGCTTTGATGGTAGGTCCCAAGACTTACATGCTGTTAGCCACCCAATTTGGGGAATCTCAAGGCTATACCATGTCCACATAATTAACTGAACAAGGGGAGAACAAGGGCTTTTGGGTGGCCGTGAAAGGAGACTGATGCACCAGGCAACACCATGGAATGGATAGGCCGACTGATCATCGATTGTAGTAATCAAAACATCAAGATGCAAGTTGAAAGCACTGAGAGAACACAAAAATAGAAAAAAGAATAGACAAAATCACATGAATTTTGACAATGATACAACACAGATTGCCTTGATATTTCACATAAGAAACGACCAAAACAAAATTCAGGTAGCTTAACTTGCCCAATTGGAAACAAGTCCTTCTTTTTCCCTTTTTTTTTTTTTTTTTTGAGAATTCGACTACGAAAGGACAATTATCCTGTTACAGTTTTTACCTAAGCAAGATTTTTGAGAGCTATTGAGAGCTAAATAAATATGTTTGAACCCACTTAGGAAAAAATTATGCCTTTTGTTTCCTCTACTAGGACAGTCAAAACAGGATAATGCAAAGATTATCTGAATAGGCAGGCATCACAAAGATCTTTCCAGACTAGGTGTGAGACACTGTGGCATTACCACTAAAGTATGAGTGCCTGTAGGCCTGCGCATAGTAACTGTGGGGCATATGCTCGAAAGCAATGCTCAACTTTTCCTTCAAGGAGAAGAACATCATACCATAATGACCTCGGTTAATTCTTGTTCCACTTGCTTCTTTAAATCTGCATCTGATTTTTCTGATGCCTTGCATCCTCAGTCATTTGAATGTCTACACAATTACTACAAAAAATATATAATACTAATACTAATAATAATAATAATCAGAAAATTTTATTAGAAAAGTAGTTGGGTACATAATATTCATATGAATATGTCTGTTACAGGCAGTCATCTTAGATCACATCTGATTAGTAATGTCTAACACTAAGAAAATTACCTTCTGGAACCCGTTTTATATTCATGATTTCGACAGATGGAATATGCCTCCTACCCTCTGCCCCCTACCTTTTTTTCCCTCTCAATCTTTTATCTCATCAGAATAAACTGTCAACATGGCATCACAATAGAAAACGAAGGGCTATTTTCATGGAGTCTAGATCTTTCTCTTTGTGTTGGACCACCAATTTCTCAGTTTATATATATACAACTCCAAACTCCACTGCCTTTCTAAAGAAACTCCTTATCAAATCTCCCTGAAGAAAAAAATAAGTTCCACATTAAAGTACTTTAAAAAAAAAATGGTGGGATTTCTGCCTTTTATAATCATGATTCTAATTCTTTATCTTTTGGTTTCCCCCACGTATGCTGGTGAGTTCTAAGTTTTGGGTCATTGTTGTAGGAGGAAGCACAACAGTTAAGCAAATGGGAAGGCTATGTAGATTGGAGGATCAGACCTGCCTTGAAAGGCCATCATGGTGGAATGCTTGCTGCCTCCTTTGTCTTGGGTGAGTACAGCACATTCTATTTTTCTTTTTATATACTCGCTTTAAACTGCACTTGGCTGTTGGAAACAAAACCTTTGAAATTTCTATGTTTCATTATTATATAATTATATTTAAAGTATAAGATTCTTACTGTGTTATTTGTTATAAATTGCTAACCTTAGTTGTGGAGGTGCTGGAGAATCTAGCTTACCTGGCGAATGCAAGCAACCTAGTACTATACCTCTTGAAATTCATGCACTTTTCTCCATCCTGCTCCGCAAATATTGTAACCAATTTCATGGGTACTGCCTTTCTCCTTGCTCTCCTTGGTGGCTTCTTAGCAGATGCTTTCTTCACCACCTATTGCCTCTACCTGATAGGTGCTGCAATAGAATTTATGGTAAGATTCCAACAAAGATCAAACTTCTCAACTCTTACTTTTACCATCAATTCTTTATTATTATTATTATTATTATTATTGTTATTATTATTATTATTTCACATGATAAGCACCTAGTTGGCTTTCTCAGCTCCTGTTTGAGGACACATTTAGGTGGAATAGAACGTAATTATAGGACCCATTACCAGAATAACTCTAGGGTCTTTCAAGCAGAAAAATGGACTTATCCACCTAATGAATGTGATAATCCATGTGTGGCAGCAATGTCAACTACTCCTATATACAATAACAAACTAAAAACTGAAAACAGTAGCTTGTCCTATAGTAGTGTTTAACAGCCAATGGTCATGACAACATGGAAAGGTCAGTAGAGCCATGCTATTCCTGAAATTTAATTGGTGGAAGAGAAATTTTCTTCTCCCCAAGTCCATGTCAAATGAATGCAACCCATGGCCATACCATGTGCTAACTCAATTAAGAGCTAGGAGAATTAATACAACTAAGGAGAAAACCTATTCACCATCCAAATATCATACACAGTTGAGTTAAGGTGACTATGTCATTACTCAACCTGTAAACTCAATGTGGAGAATTACAGACCTGAATACTAAATTAGTTTTTTTTCCATGATTCAAAGAGCATTCACTAACTTATCTTTGAACAGGGTCTGTTAATACTCACAGTGCAAGCCTGCATACCTTCATTGAAACCACCAGCATGTTCTTTAGTGAATACCAAAACTCCTTGCCAAGAAGTCACTGGTGGGAAAGCAGCTTTGCTGTTTGCAGGCCTTTACTTGGTGGCGCTAGGTGTCGGAGGAATAAAAGGTTCACTTCCCCCACATGGGGCTGAGCAGTTTGATGAAACCACTCCACAAGGAAGGAAGCAAAGGTCGTCATTCTTCAACTACTTTGTTTTCTCCCTCTCTTGTGGAGCCTTAATTGCAGTAAGCTTTGTGGTATGGATTGAAGATAACAAAGGCTGGCAGTGGGGTTTTGGGATATCTACGGCAACAATACTGACCTCAATCCCAATTTTCCTCCTTGGCTCACCTTTTTACAGGACCAAAACACCATCAGGAAGCCCCATAACAACCCTAATTAAGGTAGAATTTGGATTAAAGCCCCCAAAGGATTGCTGTAAGTTGCAGAACTAAAGCATTGCTAACTAGTCAATTTTCATTTATATCCTACAGGTATTAGGTGCCTCAATTTACAACTGCAAATCTAAGAGGCCTAGAAATGCAGTCATGGGTATGGACATGGGCTCGTCCAATACAACTGAAATCAATAATGGAAAAGAATGCAATACCAAACAAAAGGGCCCAAGTCAAACTCTCACAGAAGATCTCAGGTTCCTTAACAGAGCAGTTGGAAACCAGACTGCCCACCCAATATTACAGTGCACGGTAAAGCAGGTGGAAGAAGTCAAGATCGTAGTGAGAATTATTCCAATTTTTATGTCAACTATAATGCTAAACTGCTGTCTTGCTCAGCTCTCCACATTTTCTGTCAACCAAGCAGCCACCATGAACACCATGCTTGGTTCCCTAAAAGTTCCACCAGCATCTCTCCCCATCTTCCCTGTCATCTTCATGATGATCCTTGCACCAATCTATAACCATGCAATCATTCCATTTGCTAGAAAAATAACAAAGACTGAAATGGGAATTACTCATCTACAGCGGATAGGAACAGGGTTGGTTCTATCTATCATTGCCATGGCAGTGGCAGCCCTGGTGGAAATCAAACGAAAAAAAGTAGCAGCTGAATCAGGGCTAGTTGATTCTTCTGAACCTCTACCAATTACGTTCCTTTGGGTGGCCTTGCAGTACTTGTTTCTTGGATCAGCTGATCTTTTCACCTTAGCTGGCATGATGGAATTCTACTTCACTGAAGCCCCATTAAGCATGAGATCTTTGGCCACTGCTCTATCTTGGGCCTCACTTGCCATGGGATACTATTTCAGCTCGGTGCTTGTATCAATAGTCAATGGAATTACCAGAACATTTCAACAGCCACCATGGCTTTTTGGTAGCAACTTGAATCACTACCACCTTGAAAGGTTCTACTGGTTGATGTGCATACTCAGTGGCCTGAATTTCATTCATTACCTCTTCTGGGCCAGACGCTACAAGTACAGGTTAATAACGCCTGAGAGCTATTGATTAAAGATTTAATCTCCAGAAAGATCTAGAGGCCTACTCATCAAAATCATCCTAACCAGCCCTGTGAACCGAGTCACCATATCTGCAAGCTGCAGACATGCATGTCTATAATGCTGGGTCTTAGGCTCTATTAGCCCTCTTAGCATGCTTCTATGTGGGGGTTTTATCTCATCCCTAATGGCATCTTGTACTACCATGCTTAAATTAGTACTAAAAAACAGCACATGTAATACCATGATTCTTCATGGAGTAGAATCAATACATCATATGCATATATTGGTCTAAATTTCAAATCTTTTCCAGCTCTAAATCATAAATGAAATGAAAAACAAACTAAGAACACATCCCCACAAAGTACTAAAGCTGCTGACCTAAATTTTATAAAACTTAACAATTTAAATGATCAATAACGTTAAATGGGCACATGGGTTTGTCTTTATATTTACATCCTACATAGTTCAGTTACCTCATTGTCATCGGATAGCATCTAATTGGGAGAAAAGGAGCTTAGTTCAAGGGATGGAGAAATAGCAGGAAGAAAATAGGAATTTGGGTCATTTTCTGTGAAAAAGACAATGATTCCTTCCACTCTAACAAGGCAAATTGTTTATCATTGAGCAAAGGTTATTCCTTGGTAATGGTTTGTTCTCGGATAGTTTTCCTGATTGAACCTGTCCTCTTGGGGTCCCAGCCTTCCCTTACCCTAAGGCAACTAAGCAGATATTTTAATGGTGACAAGATATTTATGCATGAAAACCATAACATCAAAATTCCCGCATTTAAGGGTCGAGGGGGACAATACACTGGCAACACAGAATAGAAGGCAAGTCGGCACCATGAGAGTGACAGAAGTTTCTAAAAAATCATAACAATGGAAAATAAATGAAAAAAATCAACAGATAGAACCGTAAGAGCACCTTTTCCAAGTGTGAGACTTTGAACAACGCATCGTACGAGAGAAAAGAAACCATTTTTCCAGAGTAACCGCCTCTCTTTTGGGTTTGTTTTTACCCTCGAGCCGCAACTTTGGTATAACGATTTGGAAGTGTGGATAAGTAATTTTGTCTAAATTATTAAAAAATAGAGGTTTGGGAAATTTATTTATTTTAAAATTATTATAAATTAAATATTTAATAAAGTTTTTTATTTAACTATTTAAGATTAATATAATAGCAAATAGCAATTAGGATCTATACTATTATCAGATTAAAAAATTTATTTAAAATAACTTTTTATATCAAATTCGTTAGTAAATTTTTTTTTTATTTTATGAATAAATTTATACTTTTTAATTTTTTGTCATGGTTCTTAATTAGTACTTATCTAGTTCATTTTAACGTTATTTTTTTGTCTTTAATAATATTAAATAATTATTATATTTTTATTTTTATATTAATTTATTATAAAAAAATATTAACTTAATAAACAAAATTTACTAATTTAATGAAGAGATTAAGGGTTTATTTGATATAATAATTTGGAAGTAATAGTTAGTAATTTTGTCCAAACTGCTAAAAATAGGTGTTTGATAAATTTATTTATTTCGAAACCGCTACAAACTAAATTTTTGATAAAAATTTTTTATTTAGTGATTAAGGTTCAAACTACTAGAGAATTAAAATTTTTTAATTTTATTGACAAATTTATCTTTTTTTATTTTTTTTTCATGGTTTTCAATTAGTATTTATCTAATTCGTTTCAACTTTATTTTTTATCTTTAATAATATTAAGTAAATATTAGATATTTTTTACATTAATTTATTATAAAAAATATA